GTGAAAAATAATTTCATTTTTACTTAAAGCTATAGACGTAGACGATTTCTCAATGAATTGGTATTTGTTTTTTTTTTGTTTTTTGTTTTGTTTACGGGTCCTCTAAAAACGCGGCTTGAACGTAGCCGGAAACTGATTGAAGCGTGGCCGCAGAGCGGCATTCGATTTCTCGAACTTTTCGCCCGAGTGACCCAAGATGACGCCATCGTTGGCCTTGCCGCCATCTTTCGGATTGGGTTGGGTGGCATTGGCCTCGGCCACATCGATAATGCGCGGATTCTTGCGATATCTGTACCACCAGTACTCAAAGACGAGCGTAATGCAGGCCATGCCGATGCCCACAAAGATGACAATAAAGACGCCACCAATATTCTGTATGGATATGCCGTCCGATTGATCCTCCGGCTTCTCGCAATTGGCCTGCGCCTCATCGTTCTTCCACCACTTCTCCTTCAGCTTCTCCAGCTGGCGCTTGTTCAGCAGCGTTAAAATGCTGCAAGTGAGTTAAATGGAGAAATAAGTTCCATTTTTCTTTTTATTAGTAATCCGGCCGAGCTTACGCATTATTGAATTGATCCTTCAGATGTGAGCCCTGCTGCACGGCAATGGCGTAGGGTTTGCGGGAGAACTCCTCCCCGACCACCTGCAGATCACAATTGGTCAGCTGCAGGTAGCGTATGTCCGTGGCATCGCCCAGAAATGCGAAGCCCGTTGCCGTCGAGGAGTTGCGCACTCGCGTCACTGCATCGTCGAGCGTGGCCGGCAGACCTGCCTCCTGCATGGCCTGCCACATTTTGGTATATTTATCGCTCACCGGATAGTCCCAGACGGCCAGCTTGGAGCGCTCCAGCGGCGTCAGCGAGTCGTTCAGTGACAAATCCTTCCAGATTTCATAGAACATTTGCTCGATGTTGGCCATGCGCTCGAAATAGGTCATCGCCGCGGAGCCATTCAAGGGTGCATAAAGAATCTTGTACTGCTTGGCCAGATCGTCCAGGGACTCCACGGGCGTGTCCAAACGCGACACAGTCAAGAAGGCAGCCAAGTTGGCCGTGTAGGAGGCAATTATGATGAAGCTGGAGAGGCATTAGAAATTTTACATTAATTTATTATTTAATTATAATATTGAAATGCATCATTTTTTGAAAACTCATAAAAGCAATTTAAATTTGAATCTAACAGCTTGTGAGCCTCTGTTAAATAGCATAAAATTTGAATGTTAAAGCTTTATCCCATTATTTTCTTATAAATTCATCTCATAAAAATTATTGCATTTGAATACAACATCTGTTAAATAACATAAAATATGAATGTTAACGTTTATCCTACTATGTTCTTATAAATTCATCTCATAAACACAATTGTATTTGATTCTAACAGCTTATGAGCCTCTGTATTAAAGCCTCTGTTAAATAACATTTAATTTGAATGTTAACGTTTTCAAACCCACCATCTCATATTATTATAAGTCTAAGATGGTTTTAGCCCAACCTAACCTCGATTAAATAATACATATCGCAAATTTTACTGCACATTTGTGTTAATTCTGATCACACCTACCCGAAAAGCCACCACGTGGCCGCCACAAGACGACCGGATAGATTTTTGGGTGCCTCGCCGCCGCCTTGGGGCGTCAGGGATGTCATGCAGAACCAGAGGCATTCCTTCAGGTTGAATTCGCGCTTCTCCTCGTCGTCCTTGTACTTGTCGCGATTGTTCTGATAGCTGTACGGACTCCAGCGATCGAAGACCCACATCAGAAAGCTGGTAAAGAAATAGGCAGCCAATATGCACAGCCAGACATTCGTCTCCAGCACGGTGAGAAACTTGAACAGCGAGCTGGGCGAACTGGGACGCTGCATCATAATCGTAATGCCCACCAGATCGTAGTAGGGCACCGTGAAATCAATCACAATTTCCCTTTCGGCCATCACCGACATGCTGCCCAGCCCAATGTCCGCCTGTTTGTCAATCAATTTCTTCACAATGCCATTCCAATCGCCCTTCTCATCCATGTTGCCGAACTTGCCATCCTCCACCTCCTGTATCTCATAGTCGAAGTGCACAATGGCAGCAATCTCGTTGATTAGATCTATGCAATAGCCTTTATAGCCCTTGGGCGCCGTCTCGTCGCGCATTATAAAGGGCGCTTGCTGGGAAGGGTATAAAAAGAAATAAACAAAGAGTCAAACTTCGTGAAAATCGGATGAGATTTGATCAAGTATAGGATATTTTGGGGTACCATTTGTACATGAATTTCGACCAAAAATTATGTTGTCAGCTTTTGATGCCAAGTTGATTAAGAGGCAAAACCATGAACAAAAAGCCAAACCTTATGAAAATCGGATGAGATTTGACTGAGTTATGGGGGTGGGAAATTTTATCGCCAATTTTCACCCACAGAGATGGATATCCCGAAAAGTGCGAAATACGTCTAAGATATAATGTACAATAGATCTTGGCAAATGAGGCAAAATATTTCTTAAACCCCATCTTTGATTGAAAAGTGCACCTCATAACTCTGAAGGTATGGGCTGTGTGTGGCCCATCAGTCAGTCAATCAATCAATTCATCAGTTAGTCAGTAAATCAATCATCCAATCAGTCAGCCAATCAATCAGTCAATTAATCAATCAGTCATTCAATCAATCAGTCAGTCAGCCAATCAGTCAACTGTATTTATATACTTCATTTCTCAACTCTGTGTCTGGCCCATCAGTTAGTCGATTAATCAATCAATCAATCAGTCAGTCAATAGGTCAATTGTAGTTGTATAAATCTCAACTCTGGTCTGTGCGTGGCCCATCAGTCAGTCAATCGTTCAGTCAATCAATCATTGATTTACTTACCACCACCGTGTATATGCGATAGACCGTGTCTGCGGTCAGATTCTTCATTTGCTCCTCATCCTTGACAACCAGCGGCGAGTCGAGGCCAGCCGTCCAGGTGCCAATCGATTTGCTGTTCACCGAGCTGCCGCCGCGTATCTGGAGCACATTGATGTCCATTTCGAATTTCATATAGCTGAAGCCGTTGAAGGGCTTGCGCGGTTGCGTGACCAGCTCGAAAGTGCCGTAGGATGTTGGTTCGCTAACCTTTGAACGCACCAAAAATGTTGTAAACAATAATTAGCGATAATTGGGGAACTACCCCTCATTTAAGTGTAAACACACCTGTGTAAAATATTGCCTAAGATCAATATTGCGTTCAGGTGTGTTGCCGCCCTGAAAGTCATCACACCGCAGATACTCCATGTCCTTCGGCCAGGCGCCCGATTGCAGCATTTCTCTGCCAGAAAAAAACAAGAAATTAGTTTCGACCACAAAATAGACAACAAAAACTTTTGCTTTAATTATCTACCAATAATATGGAGGCTCAATTAAAAGTAGAAAAGACCAAAATAGCATTCAAGTGGGCTCAATTTTGTTTACTTGCCTGCCAGAGCTAACAATACCTTTAACATGTTGTCAAAACCAATTTGTCATGGGGATTACCTAACGGATAAATAAATTACAAGGTACTTATAATAAGGGACATTTGCTTGAAGTCGAATTTACAAAAAATATATATATATATTAATTTTGGCTCAGTTTTTTTGTATATCCAGGACAGCTTATGGACATTTGATGGGGGCGAAAGTGGGCGTGACGAGAATATTTGGAGCTTTTACTTTAGAGGAAATCAGCTACAAAAGTCCTATAAATGGAATTTCCTAACAAATTTCCCTAAAATATCCCCAAGCTCAGATTTTAAAATTGGGCGTTACGAGAATATTTGTCTGCAACAATCCTATAGGAGAATAAAATTTCCAATAAAATATCCCATCAAATATCCCCAAGCCCAAATTATAAAAGTGAGCGTGTCGGGAATATTTGCAGATTGGACTCTAGAGGAAATCAGCTGCAACAATCCTATAGGAGAATTGAATTTCCCATAAAATATCCCAAAAATATTCCCAAGCTCAGATTATAAAAGTTGGCGTGTCAGGAATATTTGCATCTTGAACTCTAGAGGAAATCATCTGCAACAATCCTAAAGGAGTATGGAACTTCCCATAAAATATCCCCAAGCTCAAGTTATAGGCAATTTGTTCCATTTAGTTCCGCCCCCCCCCCCCCCCCCACCCACCCCTCCCCTGACTATTTTATCCCATAAAACTTACTTGATAGCCAGAAAGCTGCGCAGCGCCAGATCAAAGTAGAAGGCCGAGGCCAGCTGCGGTTCCTCATTCAAATTAAATGTGGTGCGCAGCAGACCCAGGCGATCGCGATATTGCGTATACGCCATGGGCTTCAGGAACATAATGGTCGCATTGTCCCTTTGGCTGCTGACCTCGCCCTCGCTCTGCGTAATCGCATGCCAGGCGAAATTGCGCTCAAAATAGGCGGGCTTCACAGACTCGAGCACCATGCGTATGGACTGTAAATTGCCCAGCACAAAGAAATTGTTGATGTCCAGATTGCGCAGCTTCTCGATCTGTTCCTCGCGCTCCCGTTTACCATCCTTGGCAATGGCCGTGATCACGTGACGCGTCTGAATGTTCTGCAGCAAGGATTTGTATTTGTGGTCCATGACAAAAGTGTCATCGTAAAGTATGGCAGCTGGCGGGTGAAAATAGTGGGAAATCAGATATCGTATATCGACAAGAGAGAAGGACTCTAAGCTATCGATAACTTTTGACATATGAATATCGATAATTAATTTAAGCGAGCATACGGATCGCACAAATTGCAAATTTGACACAATTTTAAAACATATACATATATATGTCAAAGGAATAAAGGGTATTGGCCAGTCGAGCATGCTCACTTACCATTGGTGATGTTCAGCCGCTTGACAATGCTGCGCACTGCCTCGGGTATAATGTCAGCTGGCGGCATTACTTGCAGCAGATACTTTTGCTTCGCCTCGTCCAAGTCGCGCCATTGCCGCAGATCGCCCTCCTGGCCATAGGAGGCGCTGATCGTGGGCAATCCCAAAGCCTGAGTGAAGCTCTTGACCGTTTCCGAGGCGATGCCCGCCTTGGTGGTGTCCAGCACAAGATGCGGCATTTGCTTCTTCTCAATGCTGGCCACATACTTGTTGCAGACTGAGTAAGAGATCGGATTATATAGCTATATATGTTCAATTAATAAAACTTACTTGCTTCCAGCAATATTTTGGCATCCGTTTTGTTAGCCTCGATGGACTCGATTTGCACCGATAAGCCGTAGCTGGGATTCTTCTTCAGATAGGTGAGGACCACCTCGATGGCCTTGGTCGCTGGCTCATTGTCCACCTCGTTGATAAAAACTGCGAAGGAGGACACACACGCGACATTAGTTCGACTATTTACACAGGGCACAAACCCCGCCCGAGTCAGCCCAGCTTTTACATTCAGCTTAATTAGTTTACCCAAGAGCCGAGTGCTATCTATTCCGTTGCCATCTATCGATTGGGGCACTTACACACATTGATATTCTGGCTCGTCTGCGCTGCAATTTCCACATGGAGTGCACTTTGCAGCAATGTCCACAACAACCATAAATATTTCAAAGTCTTAAAACGTTTCTCCATTATATTCCAGGCAACCCAAAGCTGACCGCACCGCACGAACCACCATCGGGAACTGACACTCGCCGCGGCGTGGTGCTGCTTTGTGTAGACATGTGTGTATCCTTGGTGATAATCAATTGTCTGCCTGCCCTCACCTGACCGCCTAATCTATTGTTCGTGGCGCTAATTGGGTCAGGCTTTGGATGATTGTCACAATGCTTCCTCCGAGCGCCAAATATGAGTCCGTGACTTTCGCTTTTATCATGATAAGATCTATTTCATTTCGTGATAAATTAGTATCATGAATTTGCGAACATGTCATATATTATTTAAGTTAACAATGTTTTGTCTTAAATGAACTTTGAACTTCAAAAGCTTCATAATAATTATTGATAGAAATTAGGAAATTTAAAATATTTGTTAGCTTTCAATAACTTATATGAATAAGGACTTTCGAACTTTGTGCAGCTTTATAATCAAATTGTTAGCAAACTATTTTTAAGTAGAGACAACAAGAAAGCTCTTAAATTATTAAATTTAAGATAAATCAAGTCCCAACTCAAAATGTGGAAAACAACTGCTTAAACCTTCGATAATTTGTTTGTCCCTTGTAAAGGTTTCAGACTTTTAGAAAATTGTGATATTTTAAGTTGAGACTCTATAATATCAGATAAAGGCATTTACTTTATAACTAGTTATAATTATTTTCTTTAATGTTTATTTTAGCTAATGAAAAATAAACCAATTAATCATTTTGTTCATCGTACATAAAGAAAAGCTAATAAAAATAAAGAAAGCCAGTTTGTTTTCATATAAAACTTGCAGCACTCGACGAAATTACAAAAAATTTTTATTACATATTTATGAAACTTTTGAATACCCAATCAGAGAGAGAATATGGTAACCAAATAAAATCTTGGGCAGCAGATTGGGCGTGTGTTTATCTTAGATACAAACAATAGATAAAGTTAGCTACCAGTTGTGCACTGCGCTGTCGACTACCGACTAGCGTGCATTGTCATTATGCGTAGACCTAAATTTAAATTTAACATACACAGTTCGATCGCAGTACTTGAATATATATAGGTATATATACATACATACTAATGCCTATGCCTTATGATAGTAGTCAAGTATATGTGTGTGTGTGCGTGTGCACAAAAATCTCACAAGTTCCAGTCATCTGGGCCCGACTCCTCGTGCACCACGACGGGCGTGCGCGGCGCACCAGGCACAGGTGTGGGCACCAGGGGCACATTGCTGTGCAGGCCACCAGCGCCGCCTCCAAAGAACGGCGGCGGCCTAAAGCTGCTCGGTGTTGCCGCATTGGAGCTGTGCGTGGACGAGGCCGAGGAGTCGCGCACACGCGTCGCATCAAACGCCGGCGGCTGGGCGTAGCGATGATGCGGCTGACCCGACTGCGGTGTCCGGGAACGCGAGTGTTCGCGCATCGCCTCGTGCTGTCGCTGCTGCTGCAGCATATATTGCTGTTTCTTCTGCTTGAGCAGCAGCTCCTCGCGCTGCAGCTGACGCTGTTTCTCGGCCAGCTTGCGCTGCTGGGCCAAAAGGCGATTCGTTTTGCTCCACGGATTGCCGCCAAAGCATAAATTAGATATGAATACCACCGGCGAGAAAAGACGCAGCGAAAAGTTACTATAACAGAAGAGTAAAAGACATGCTTAAACATCTTTTTTGTTGTAGATTGTAGCTACTTACGTGGTGTCCACAATGGGCTTCGCCTCGTTGCCGCTGAGTATGAAGAGCGGAAAGAATATGGAGAAGATGCAGCTGCTGACAATCACAGAGCTGGACATATTCGTGAGCACCGTCAGCGGTATGCCAAAGCCAAGGAAATATGGCCAATTCTTTTCAATGTAGGTCAGACGTCGATGCAGCTCCCAGCCCATGTTGAACCATTTGTACTCGAAGGAATACAGCGAATAGAGCAGGCACAAATGAAGAAAGCACAGCGAGGAGCCAACATATTTGACTGGCACCAGATTGACCAACATGCTCTGCACCAGAAACAGTATTTGCACGACCATGCTGAAGAGGAAGTCGGCAACCAGTTTACTGATACCGGGTATCAACTGGGGCCGACCCTTGCGCACACGATACGCCGCATTCGCGATGTCCGCGAACCACAGCGAGCTGACAATCTTGGAGAGCATGAATATGGGCAGCACCCACATCATGCCAAAGATCAGCGACAAAATGGGATGCAGCCAGCTCCAGACAAAGGGCAACGTATCGGACTGCGCGCCATAGAAGATGGTCAAACAGAATTTCAGTGTGGGCAGCAGCACGTTCTCGAACAGCACGATGCTGAGCCAGGTGAAGCCGCCATTTAGCAGACAGCATTTAAATAATTTCTTGGCGATTTTCTTCTCGCTGCAAATGCGTAATAAATACAATTAGTCATGCGCTCTTATTAGGGGTACTCAAGAAACTGTTTTTAGTGAGGATTCGCTCAAAATTGGCGCGCTAAACAGCTGTTGTCCGATAATTTGTTATCGATAACTTTTTATCTTTGTTATGACAGCATAAGCAGTTGCCAGAGTACCCCAATTTTGTTTTTTTTTTTTTAACAACATTTGCATACTTACGCCTGTGGCTGTGGCTCCTCCACGGGCTTCTTTTTGAATATCTTCTCCAGCGTACGCTCATCGGTATTGGCCTCCGCACGCTTGGCATACTCCTCGCGTATCATTGCCGCCGCCGAGCTGGGCACTGGCGAGGGCGAACGTTGCGCCTGCCTATATTGCTCCCTGTCCATTCTGCGCAGCTGGCGCATTGTCTCCAATTCTGCATTCTGTCTGGCCACCTCGTTGTCAATGTGAAGCACCAGGGTCATGCCGCGTATGCTGTCCCATAGTCCATACAAAATGCCCAGCGCGATGTTCTGCAGCGCATACACACATGCACAAATAGATGAAAAAAAACACGTTTAAATTTACAACGCACATTAGCTACGCACCTTTATTGCAGCCATCTCCACCTCCACCTGTCTGTTGTCTGTTGGATGTTACGGTAGTTTTAGCCAACACTTAATGCAATTGTTACGACTGTTGTGGGCATTACAAAAATAGATGCGTGTTTGTATTTACGGTTCTTGCAGTGTTGTTTGAAACGTTTTGTTTCCCTATGAATTTGCGCTGTTGCGATGACATTGTTTCATAGTAACACAAATTTATAGTTTACACGATGAACAGCACATCATTACGAGTAACAGTAAAAGTTATATTTGATAAACCTACTTGTTGCGTGTCAGCCAGAGTTTATTCTTTTGTGTGATTAACCACATTTGAACCTTGTTCCACCGAAATAATTTCTAAAATTGTTGTTTGTTTGTACTTTGTCATGTACTTGCTTTGGACTGAGTAACTACATATGTTACTTATCGATATATATCGAACATGGTATCGATATGTTTAGCGAACTACTCGCTAGGCTAGGTGGGAAAACAAAAAAGTACTTGAGTTCAGTTTTTCCGCTTGCGGAAAACAGGTAGGAGCTGGAATTTCTTGCTTTCCAACTTGTTGAGCCTGTGCAATTAATATATTGTATAGATTTTGCTGCTGTGTGTGTGTGTGTCTGAATCGAATGTGTTTGTTTTGAATTGTAACAATAACACAAACATAATAATCATATTTTGTTTTGCTATCTGCGGGTTTTAGCAAGTGCTTTTGAATCATGTGGCGCGCGCGCTTAATTATAATTTAAAAACAAACTCAACTGACGGCATTCTAAAGACACTGATTAATTATTGTGTGTGATTTACGTAGTTGGCGTTGATAAAAGTTTCCATATCCTACCTACATATATATGTATATGTGTATGTGTGTGAGTGTGTGTGTGTGTGTGTGTGCCATATGTGTGCCTTGTATGTAAACATGTTATCTGGGCCTGCCAATACGCAAATAGGTGTATCTGACTTTTCGAAATTTTAAACCACAGGTGTCACACGCTTAATGCTTCAATAAAGCCGCCCACAATGCTGGCCACTTAATTGATTAGCAACGGATTTGCAATGTTAGTCCAACAAGCTGTGACCAAGATCTGGCTTGTTTGTCTAACGGTACACACACACACGCACAGGGTGTGTGTGTTTGTGGCGTGTGGAAATTTTTATATAATGCCATTTTGACATTCTTTTATTGCAGCTTAAAGACTCAAGCGCATTTTCATCTCAATCCAACCACCGCCCACCCACGCCTTGATAGTGCACTGAAATAATCAATAAAGCAGCAGCAGCAGCAACGAACGACGACAAATACATAGACACACGATGTGGGCTAGTGATAAGCAGCAACAATAGAGGGCAGCCCTCCCCCACCCCTATCCGCTCGCGGCTCTACCCAGACTTAGCTGAGCGACAGCCCCCACTCAGTTCCAGCTGCAGTTCCAGGCATTTGCAAAAAAGAAAAGAAAGGAAAGGAAACTCCCGATTGTAGCTGATTTTTTGCCGTGAAAATGTCGCGGGAGGAGCGTCTGCCCATTGTGGATGCATCGAGCAGCAGCGGCGAGGATGAGGCCAGGCCCGTTGTGCGTAGGCGCAGCACGCGCGACACCGAGCTGGCTGTGCCCAAGGATGCGGGCTGCTGTGCGCCCACCAGCACGCCCCATCGATTTCTGGCCCTGGTCTTTATGTGCCTGCTGGGCTTTGGTGAGGCTTCCATCTTCAATTCAATCTCGATAGAAACATGAGCTCATTGTTCTTTGTCCTCTCAAAACAGGTTCCTATTTTTGCTATGACAATCCAGGCGCACTGCAGGACGTGTTCCAGAAGGAGCTGAATTTGAATGCCACCGAGTTCACGTTCATCTATTCCATCTACTCGTGGCCAAACATTGTGCTCTGCTTTGTCGGCGGCTTTCTCATCGATCGCGTCTTTGGCATACGCCTGGGCACAATCATTTACATGCTTATTGTGCTTCTGGGTCAATTGATATTTGCCACGGGCGGCCTGTTGGGCAAATTTTGGCTAATGATTGTCGGCCGCTTTGTGTTTGGCATTGGCGCCGAGTCCCTGGCCGTCGCCCAGAACAGCTATGCGGTCCTGTGGTTCAAGGGCAAGGAGCTGAACATGGTATTCGGCCTGCAGCTGTCTGTGGCACGCTTTGGCAGCACTGTCAACTTTTGGATCATGCAGCCGGTCTACAACTATGTCTCCAAATCCTATTCTGGCTATACGGGCCTGGGCGTCACCCTCTTTCTGGCCGCCAGCACCTGTGTCATGTCTCTGCTGTGCACTCTCATATTGGGTATGCTGCGAAATTTTGTTACACAAGTTGACATATCCGATCCATAAAGGAGAAGCTTGGGAAACAACTGAAATATTCCTTTTCTTTAGGCTGGATGGATAAGCGCGCCGAGCGCATACTGAAGCGCAATAACAATCCCGGCGGCGAGATTGCCAAGCTGAGCGACATTATGACCTTCAGGCTGGACTTTTGGATGGTATCGGTGGTGTGCGTGGCCTACTATGTGGCCATATTTCCGTTTGTGGCGCTTGGCCAGGCCTTCTTCACGTCCAATTTTCATCTGACGCCCGAACAGGCCAACAATGTCAATTCGATTGTGTATCTAATCTCGGCCATTGCCTCGCCCCTGTTTGGCTTTATCATCGATCGTGTGGGTCGCAATGTTTCCTGGGTATTTGTGGCCACAATTGCCACGCTTGTGTCGCACCTGCTGCTCACCTTCAGCCAGTTAAATCCGTACATCGGCATGTCCATCATGGGACTCTCCTATTCGATGCTGGCCGCCAGCTTGTGGCCCTTGGTGGCATTGATTGTGCCCGAATATCAGCTGGGCACAGCCTACGGCTTGTAAGTGGAAATCCTTATCCTATCCGTGTTCTATTCTAAACCTATTACGTACGTATACTACAGCTGCCAATCGGTGCAAAATCTGGGCCTAGCTGTGGTCACCATTGTCGCCGGCCTCATCGTGGACAGCAGCGGGGGCAGCCACTTTTGGCTGCAGCTCCTCTTTATACTGTTCCTACTGAGTAAGTGTTGTCTGTTCTAGTTAATTGTTTTAATTAATATATGGCTTTCACTTACAGTTTCCCTGTTGGCAACGTGCGCTATCTGGGCCTACGATCGCAAGTATCAGGGCAATCTGAACATGTCGCCGGCACAGCGGGCCACATATCATACATCCATGTACGTGAATATTGAATCTAGTTGATGGTGTTCAGACTATAGTACATGTTGTATTGGTGTTTATTGATATTGTGCGTGTATTACTATATAGATCGCTGAGCAGCTAGCATTTTACTAATTCTGTAAAATCTCTCTTTCAAATGCCAACAAAAGCCTCACTAAACGCGGCACTACGGATCGACGGCCTCTATTGGGCAACTAAGCACACATCTATACATATATATATATATATATATATATATATATATAGATATATACTATGCATAGCAAAAATATGTACGATTAACCAATGTGATGTTGTTTACCGTCTATAAATCTATCTCTTTAACATTATGTGTTTGGCACATATCTTACGAACTAATTGCACAAAGTTATTGTTTAACTTATATGTTAACAACAATTGATCCCCCTCTAACATATCAGCAAACTATTGTTATAATTGTGATTGTAATTTATGTTGTTATTTTTGTGTATAAATGTATTCTGTGCCCGTTGCCAAAGATAAATGTTGAATAAAATATACATAACTAGCAACTTGGGTGTTTTTTTTTTTCAAGCCAAAGATTATTCTTAAATAAATATTTATGCATGCCTATCAAATCGGGATGTTTCTCTTTTCAATTCCAATCCCAAAAACTGAGAGGTAAACTGACAAAATAAAGTTTAAAGAGCTCTAAAAGGGAAGTTCAAGGCGATTAATTTAATTAATCTTCTTAGATTTTACCTAATATATTTGTGTTTAATTTGCTGACTAATTTTAATATTTTATTATGTTCATTTAAAATACACAAATGTACTTGATCTTTATTCAATTTATTTGTATTTTGCATATATGTGAACGATTTTCATTTGTCGAAATTATATAATTTATAATAAATTAAATAAATTAGCTAAAACATAAACAGAAATTCCAAAAAAATTTGTTTTTTTGGCGTGTTAAATATAGAAACCAAAAATCAAGATAAGACAAGTTTCCATAACGCATTGGACTAGAGAAAATTCAAATACAATTCTTTTAAATGATATTGCACAAAATTCAAAATATACGACAAATGATCAATATTTTTTGAGAATAGTTAACTAAATACAAAAGTTGAATGATTGAAATTAGAATCATATGAAATATTTGTGTATGTTGTGAGAAAATAAAAATGTATGTTTATTTTTTTTACTAGTTGAATAAAAATGCATTTGCGTTCATTTTGGCCGTTAATGTTCGAACCGCTTCTCGTAATGTGATTAATTGAAGTTGCCGTCGAGCGTTCCATCAATTAGTTGCATTTAGTTATTATCATTGCAAGTATATATTATATATATTAGTAAATAATCATCGTTTTTGAGGTTTAACTTAAAGAGCAACCTTAGAAAGCTGCTTACTTTAAATTAATCATATAAATCGTCGTAGGTTTGGTTTTTTTTTTTTTTATAAAGCTCCTAACTTAAGTTAGTTTTTAGAATTCATAGAAATTGTTTTTTGTGTGTGTGTTTTTTTTTCATTTTTGGTCGTTCATAATATTAAGAAATGTACGTGACACGCTAAAGCTAAAAGCATAGTACAAAAACAGAAAGATGAAAGTTAGTCTGAAATTTTTTTTGGGGGCTTCCATTAAGCTGAGTCTCTCAAACAGACAACTGTCCATACATAAAGATTAGCTATTGTCGGATTGGTTTGTTACTATTCTTTAACAATAACTAAATCGTTGATTATATTTTAGGTTTTTGTTTTTACGTTTCCTTCTTCTCCTATGTTAATCATCCACATTTTCGGTATCGTCGGCGGCCACAATAGTTCGTTTGGCGGCACTTTGAATGCTGGCCAGATATTTTTCTCCATCGAAACGCTGGCTCTCATCCTGTAGATCCTGCACAAATAAGATACAGAAATTTAAGTAAATGTTTAAAGAGCAAATAAGAAAAAACTCAAGATACATAGTTCTTACCTTATTTGCAGTAACAAATTTGTGTGTATGTGTGTGTGTGTTGTGTGATTTTATGGCGAGTGTGTGTTAAATATAGTATGTACACATAGATAAAGCCAAGCGCTGCGACTTTGCAAGTCAAATTTTATTTTACATACGCATGTATATATAATATATATATATAAAGTTTAATGGGTTATGTATGGAAAAAACGCTTACAGCTAGGTTACATTTAAGCCTAAATGTTGCAATTGAAATTGTTATTAGTCTTGTTAAACATTAAATTACAATGCGTGTGAAGGTGTGTGTTTGGATGTGTGTGTGTGGGTGTTAATGTGGGCTTGTCCGGGCACTACAAAACGGGTTGACCGGCAACTTTTTTAGTTTTAAACTCTAGCGAACACTAAATCTGCTTCACAGCCAAAATACAGATTCCATTTTAAAGTTACAAAATAAATTTGTAAATGCTTTTTGTTTTAAGTATTTAAATTTAACATAATGTGTGTTTAATGTCTAGGACTAGCAAATAGTTGCCTGGCTTAGTTTTCGTTAATTATAATATATATAATACTGAGCATTCAGCTTTTATGGATTGCTTTTGTATTGCTTTAAGTTCTAATAATTGTTTTTCTTTTTTGTCAATGTTTTATATGAAATTTTACGCATCTGTTGGGGCAAAAATACCAATATATCAATAGCTGCGTAAATGTTGAGTTTATTTTAGTTTTAAATAAGCGCACGATTGTTGTTAAGCTCCTCGCCGGAGTAGACATCACACATGGCCAGCGAGAACTCGTCGTTCTCGCTATAACGCTGAAATATAGCCTTCAGCTGCAACTGCTGCTGCTGCTGTTGTTGTTGTTGTTGCCGCTTGCCGGCTGTGGCAGCTGCGCCCATTGTATTCGTTATGATTTGCAATTGCTTGTTATATAGTTTACGATCTGATTCAGAGGATGGCTTGCGATTGTTCATGTGCATACTGTCCCGTTCGTATGATATATGTTGCTTGTTAATTACACAGTTATGATTGCTAGCGTTGGGGATGTTATTAATGGGATCACATTCGTTAATGGGGTATTGATTGACTGCTGCCACTCCGTTACTTGCTGTGGATGTTGTTGTAGTTGTTGTTGTTGTTGTGGTAATACTAGTTGTTGTTAATGATGAGTTATGTGCAAAAATGATATCGCGACCAGCACCGGGCGCAGTGGAAGCATTTGAGTGCATCTCAACTGGGGGAATTACCTTATTGCGTAGTATCGAAGGCACAGTCTCCAGCATTTTCAGCCACTCGATGGGCAGCGCCCAGGCGTGCGGACTCTTCGAATAGTACATCAAATGTTCAATATCATATGAGACGCGTGCTGTAATTGCAGAATATATTAAAAGCAGGTAAGAGTATTTCAGCCGGAAGAGGACCGACTTTGAGGAAGCACTTAAATCTGAATCACAAACATTTTCGGGGCATGGTGTACAATGGGAGGGAAGGAGCTATGTTTAAAATGTTTAGCTTTTAGTTTCTGCGATGGAAGCTTTTATGCACAAGGACAGACCGACGGAAGTGTCCATAAATACTTTAAAGGTTCGGATATGCCTGCTTCTTTCTTTTGCCCTATTTTCACTGGACAATCCTCGCAAGTTGTCCTAGTTTCTGTTGCTGATCCTGGTCTCTACACAACACTTCTCCCGCTTACTTACAGTTATTCGTCTTTAGATTGACAGCGCCGTCTTCTTCGAGCTTTTCGCGTGCTGCCTTCACTTCCGGTGTGGATTCCTTGCGTGAGAAATGACTGCGACGCGATCGCGCCAGACCATTCTGATTGCTGCTGCTGCCATTGGACTCGGCAAACACTTCATCATCACCATCACCGTTATTGTTCGCCTGTCCAGCCGCATAGTTGAGACCAATGCCGCTATCGGCTAGCGGCAGCGCGTTGCTCAGCATAAACTGCGGTGGTCCAGAGCCGGGCAGCGGTGTGGAGGGCGTTGTCACCGGACTGACCAGGGAGGTGCCATCAAAAGCGGCGCCCGCCTCCATGGAAGCCAAGAACTCAGAGCTGCTGAAATAGTCGTCCAAGACGAGTTTGGCCACCTGCAATGTGATTCGTATTAGAATTAAAGCAAATATAGAATCTCTCGGCTACTTACACGGACTAGCTCGCAACAGTCGCCCGTAATCTTGATGAGATGCTGGCCCACATTGACCGTGAATTTGTATTCACCTACGGAAGCATCGTTTGTGGAATATGAATGCATTAGCAGCTGCTGATTGGGACGCATAACTTTACCGGCAGCAGCTGTAGCCGCCGCCGCAGCAGCCGCATTGGCAGCCTGCTGCTGCTGCTGATGGTGATGGTGATGATGATGCTGCTGCTGCTGCTGTCCCTGCTGCGGCTGTTGATGGTGCTGCGACATTTGATGGGCCGCAGCCGTGGCGGTCATGAAATTCTGCGCCGAATTGAAGCTCAAGCGATTGGACAGGCTGCTGCTGGCGCCGGGTGTGCGCGGCTGCACCGCAACGGCGTCATCCGAATTGGAGGAGTTGAGCGATGAACAGGAGCCGCCTGTGCCGCCAGCCGATGGTGCTGGCTCCAGGCGCACCGGCGAAGCGTTTCGTCGTATGGTATCCTCCATCAGTTGCTTGGCGTAGCTGCAAAAATTTGCATAGATGAAGATGAATGAAGTGCAAAAAACAGTTATTTCTACGAAAACGTTTGCAATAAAGTGGCAACGCCAAATTTCAAGTCAGCTTTAAGCAGGGTATGCAGCTGAGCAATGTCTTGAATCAAAGGAAACACTCAATAGTGTGGCAACGCCAAGCTGAGAGACCTTTTAGCCTCCAGCTGAATTAAAGTCGCATTATATCGAAATTATTTCGAAAAAACATTTAAAATAAAGTAGCAAACATTATTTTATTGCTGAACGTAGCATATGTTAGTGTACGCAAGAGTTAAGCGAAATTATTCAGCTGAGCTGAATGATCGTTAATTGATTATTTTTGCACTTTGTGAACTTATGCTTATTTTTAATCAAACTAGCGCCCAAAAATTAGGCAAATTAATTTTGTAAACACTTTATTTAGTAATAAAAACAAATGATTATTTATATGAATTAAGACTTACTTAATTTTGTCTTCGGCTGGTCCGGTAATCTGCACTAGACGTTCCTTGGCGCCAGGGTTGACTGCATACAAGATTATTTGAATATTAATAAACAGATTTTTAAAAAAAATCTTCAATTTTATTAAAAATAAATAAATATTTACATGCTGTGATTCGATTAGTAAATAAAATAAAATTCAAACAGGCAAATAATGAATGAGTTTCAGCTGAGAACGTGCGGGCGTGCGTGTTGTATATCATATATCATATATATATTATGTGTGTGTGTGTGTTTATGTGCATATGGAAAATTGACCGTTAGATTTAAAATTTTTGAAATTTGTATTTGAGTTATGAATTTCGAGAAGAAAATGGAAAGGCACATGAAGTTTGTAGGATTTTTGCAATCGTTTTTGTTTTACCTCTTTGAAAGGATATTATAGTTTCGCTAAGTTCCTCGATCATGTGTACGCGTCGGCCCTTAATGCCCATAACTATTTGAGTTTATTTAGTAAGACATAAGAATGTTGGAAGCGCATCCGGTAGTCGGCAGCACCCGAACCGATATACTTACCCTTGCCAGAGTCGGCGTTGCGTATGACCACCTCATCCTTGCAATAGGTCTTGCCCGGAATTTTGGTTGGCTTCGGAAACTTGCCCGAATTGCGTATAACCTCACCGGGTGGCAACAGCAGATGCTGCTGGTTGGGTGAGCCCACGGCGGCAATAGCCGCTGCCTGTGCGGCGGCAGCAGCGGTTGCCGCATTGAACGCAGCCGCATTAGCAGCAGCAGCAGCAGCCGCGCCGCCAACAAGTACACCCAAACCGGAGCCGGTGACACCAAATGTGGGGGAGGTGCTCAGAAAGGCCTGTTGCTGGTTGCCAACGACGCCGGCAGCATCGTGTTGATATGTTTCAGCAGGCAGCTGCAAATTAAATAAAATTGAATAAGTTACACTAACAAAAACCAATCATCGACAGGGTACAAAACACAGCAGCAGGCTCTGCTATATACAACGATTTGATGCTTTAACTGGTTGAGAATTATAAGCGTCAAGCAGCGAAAAAAGTAGAGCATGCTTAACGGCGTAAATTTTCTGTGTTATACCAAAGACAATATAAGTAATAATAAGATGCGACTAAGGCATTCGTTCGTCTGGCTTTTGGAAAACGAACAGCCAGTCGGCTGGAGAAGCCAGATGAGAGCCAGGCTAGATATTTTGGGCATTACTCATATAAGTGTTTATATTGTCTTCGATTATACCCTGAGGCAACAGCTGTGTTGGCCCCTTTAGCAAATAGTATATGAATAATTATAATACAATTCGATTTTAATTATCTCAACTGACGCACCTCAACGCTGGACACTTGTTGCTTGGACTTGTAGTAGGCGATCGTGTCCTTGTCCTCCCAGCTGTTGGCGCGCAGTTCGATCAGTTCGAGAAGCTTGAGTCGTGTCATTATGTTCAGACGTTCGTCCTGCGAAGCATTGCGAAACACAACGAATGCACGATCCAGCGTATCCTTGGACACCGCCTCCAGCTGAGGCCCATGGACCCGCAAATTATGCAGCAGCAGCGTTATCGATTCGGTTGTCGTATTGCATGATTGCAGACCGACAGTCACATTGTCGATCAACTGAATCAGCTCCTCGATTACCAGGTAGCTGTTCTTCAGCGATGAACGCGATTGTGTCTTGAGCGGACGTGGCGCCTCGATGTTTTTGACCGCCCTGGCCAGATGTGTGTGAGCCATGTTGTCTGTTTTTGTTGTTGTTTTTTTCTTTTTAGCCCGGTTTCGATTAGTGGCTGTTGTTGTTGTTGTTGGCTTAAAAGTTCTGTTTTATAATCTGTTTTTATTTTCTTTTTAGTTCGTTCGTTTGCTTGCTGTGGATGTGTGTGTATTGCGAAAAATTGTGTGTAAAAGAAGTCGTAGAAGCGTTTCCGCACCTCCCCCTGCAAATAAAAAACAGAAAGGTGACAAAAGATAGAAAAACAAATAGGCACAATGAACATCTAAAGGGGGCCCAATAGAAACCTGAGCTTAGAAATTAGTTTAAAAATTGTACTTATAAATCAATTATATAAAAAATATGGACTTTGAGAAAAAAACAAAGATATCAAATAAATCAAATAAATAAATCTATAAATCATAGTTAATAAAATAGGTCTTTAAAAATTCAATTCAAATTGAACGCCAGTTAACCTATCGAACTTCGGCTGTTATCGATATCTATTGACGTTTAGGATATTGTCTGTTACAAAGCTCCGCAATTAGCGGTATTTTGCCTGCAAATGGCGACGCAACTGTTGATCTACACACACACACTCGCACACATAGATTTATGGGCACACATCATATATGTGGATAATGTATGCACTGTGTGTATCATTTGCAACTGTGATAAGAGCCGTAAGGCCAAAGCTGATAAAATTAGATTTATGATTTATATCAGTGCTGCTCACTTTAGCTTGCCAAAATGAAAAAAAAAAAAACAAAATAGAAAACGTTTTTAGCGCATTTTCAGCGTTAGGCTAATTAATAAGCGCCGCTGTGAATCATTTGCCAATTATTCGAATGATAATTGCGCACACAAATTCCAAAATCGTTTGCATAAAACGAGCACGATGGCCATTTGTGTGCGTGTGTGTGTGTTTTGTGTGTGCGCGGCATTTAAGTTTCATTAACAAAAATACGCAGCACGCATTTGTTGCTGCTGCTGCGTCTAATTGTCGCTGGCTTTCGTTTTTATGCTGCGGCGTAGAACACACAGAGATTCGGATTTTAAATAGCACTTACAAATATTACAACAACAAAAAAAAAAGAAGAAAACTGTCAGTGCGAGCAGCGGATCTTGCCCACTTATTGAATCATATGTCGAGAATAGCAACAACAAATATGACGGTCGCTGCGGCAGCGACGTCGACGCTGGCAGCGCTGTTTGCGTCGCCTGGGGCGTAGGGCAAGGCGTGTGCCGTTAAATCAGCTCGCAACAGTTCACGCCAGCAGCCAAATAACACAGCACCAGAACTTACACAAAATTTGTTATAACGTGTCTATTTGTTAGTATACAAAGTACATTTCTCACTGATTTTTGTTCGAAATTAAGTAATAATATGTATGTGCCAGCGCTAGTCGATGGTTCGGAAACTACGCGTTGACTGCGCAGCAGCGCTACACTTGCTGCAGCAACCTTTTGGTTGCTTTATGGGAATAATCTTTAGCGAATAAATGTTGCCGTTACACAATGCGATATGTTATTTACTTTCCGCAGCGTTTTTCACTCTAGTCTGTGTTAATTTGACGAAATAGCTATATGAAAGCTTACCAAAAAAATCTCTGCGACTACTAGATCTGGAAGACAGTCATCGGTACTATCGATACTCTAAAGCCAGGCACTATCGATTCGTTTCAACGCGCTGGTTCTGCCAATTTAATGTTTTCAATCTAATGACATTTAACGCAACTTAGCCAGCTTATGTATTTATTTCTTGAATTTTTAAGAATGTGGCCTACAAATTATACCCCTTCTCTTTTTTATGACTTTTTCTGATATATATATCGCTAGCAATCAAAATATCGATAGTTTGCTAATGTGGGGCTGCCACCTTGGAAAATATTACAGTTGGGGTTGTCCAGTAGCCCTGGCCAATCGAAAACTTAAATATCGGTCGAGTTCCACAAATTTTTTCTCAAATCTCTCGTTCGCTGTTCGATTTTCAGTTGTTATTTTGTGTACAAAACGTCATAAATGATGGCTGAAAATTCAGCCACAGAGGAAGCGATACCGCCCGAGGCGGTAAATAGTGAGGATTTGGATAAAGATATCAGCGCAAAACCGCTGCAAATGTCTTTCGCCGATTGGAAGAAGAGCAAAGAGGCCAAGGAGCCTGGAGGGGTTGCACAAGGAATGCGCAACGGCCGCAAAATCCATAAAAATGACCACAAATTGCAGGGCAACCAGCGCAATCACAATAATAATCATAACAATGGCAACATGAATAATAATTCATTTCCACCGCTCAGCCGACCACCGCCGCTGCCTTTTCCCCTGATGTCCATGGGCTTTGGCAATTTTGGACCCGGCCCTGGTCCTTGTGGACCCGGCCCTGGTCCCTGTGGACCTGGCCCTGGTGCTTGCGGACCTGGCCCCGGCCCAATGATGCCGCCAAACTGCAATATGGGCGGCAATAATATGGGCAATATGGGTCCTGGGCCGGGCCCGCGCAATCATCGCCCGCTGCAGCCGCCACCGTTTTGGGAGGACATGATGTCGCCGCAGCTGCGGCCGCCGCCCATACAGCCGCCCATGCCCAAGTGCCCGAGCCTATGGAATCTGGTGCCCAAGGAGAAGCAGGCGAATCAACGACAACATAAAAACAACAACCTCAACCAGAACCAACAGCCGCACAAAAAATACAAAACGAGCAATAGCAACAACAACAATAACAGCAATAACAACAACAACAACAACAATGCCACCAGCAATGTCAGCAATGCATTGCTGGATGCGGCATTGATGCCGCCACCGCCCCCACCTGGAGACAACAACAACAACAGCGGCAGCTCCACAACCACCAAATCGAATAAGTTGATCAAGATCAAAAAGGGCGGCGACACCTTTGTGCAGATCGACGGCAAGTGGATACAGCGACCGGAAGCACCGCCCCCGTTGGAGGACGCACCGCCGGGCACCAAAGAGGATCGTCAGCGCCAGTGGCGTGAATATCGTCAGGCGATGAAGCCGTTCAAGAATCGTGAATTCCACAATTGGAAACGCACCGTGCAGCGTCTCAGTAAATTGCCACGCGATCAGCTGGACGAAAAGCAGCTGGATCGCCTGCAGAAAGCCGAGGAATACATTGGCGCACACAAGGCAATGCTGACCATTAAGCATGCCGAGCAGTGGGTGCAGCAGAGTAACCAAAAATCTGAAGCCACCACCAGCGACGGCAAGAGTAGTCAGGTGTTTGTCCGCAAGCCCGTGAATGCCGGTTGGCTCAATAAGGGCAACAACGAACCAAAAACATTTCAACGTGGCGTTGCGCCTGTACGCCATCCAACCTATGCCACGGGACGCGCCATCAAAGGCGGCGTTGCTGGCGATGTGGCCAGCGTGGCGCCCATTCAACATCCGACAGTTCCCGCCATGGGACAGTTTTCGGAGCTGCCGGCGCCGCCCATAAGCGGCGGCTACTTTGGCTACGGCAGCAGCAGCAGCAGCAATCCCTACGGACAGGATACCGCCGGCAACACTAACAGCAGCAGCAGCAGCGGCGGCGCTGGCGCCCTCGGCGTGCTCAGCGGCAACAGCAGCAGCTCGTTTTACACGAACTACAACTCCAGCTTCATCAAAGGAGGCACCCTACTGCCACCCTAGAAGGCTGCGACGACAACGCCCTGGAGCGAGAGCTACACCTAGTTATATATATATAATGATAATAATATTAATAATAATTATGATTAATGCTGATAAGCAATGAGGACGCGTTGTCTTAGTAGCCTTCGCTATTTGATTGTAAAGAAATTAATAAAATAATAACTTATACCAAGGCTTAGCTTGACTCTCGAGATGCGGAGTCAACGAAATTGAAGACAATCCTCATTTAGGGGTCAGGGGATTGTAGGGTATACGGAGTCACGGATTGATTTGGAAGCTTAGATCAACCGGCGGGCAGATGCTTGTGCAGTCCCTTAATCAAGCTCTACAAAAAGAACCTCATCGAATACAAATTTGTTTATATTTTCAACATATATAACTATATATTAAGCTTAGCTTTGGCTGGCTTTGGGTGCGCGACTGCGACTGGCCTTGAACTGGGCTTCGTCGAGGGGCGGCAGGCCCAACAGCTCGCGTCGCTTGCGCTTGCCGCGCCAGATTGCCTCCTTGAACAGATTGCAGTAGAGCTCCACGGCGGCGGGCGAATCATCGTTGCCCGGCACCGGGTAGGTGATCAGATTGGGATTGCAATTGCTGTCGACAATGCCGACTGTGGGTATGGCCATTTTGGCCGCGTCCCGTACGGCTGTGTGCTGGGCGAGCACATTGTTCTGTGTGTTGAGAAAAATGCACAGATCTGGCAGCCGGGTGACGGCATGAAACTGAACATTGGCATTGGTAAAGATGCCGCCGCGCCAGAAGCGCGTGTGCGAGAACTCGCCGGCCTCCATGGCCTTCTGCTCGACGAGATGGGCGTTCAGCGCATTCCGATTGAAGAACAAAATGATACCATCCCGGAAGGCGATGTGGGCCACAACATTGAGTGCATCCCGCAAATGGGCGGCCGTCTTGTCCAGATCGAAGATCAGGTGCCCGAGTCGGCTGCCGTACAAATACGGTCGCATGCGATCGTCGAGGGAGCCCTCCTTGTGGCCATAGTGCACGCGCGCATTGAACAGATCGCGCACGGTAAACAAATTGTGCACCTGAAAGTAATCCGGATGCTTCAGGATGCGCTGCTCTATGACATCAATATCCTCTGGCTCGGCGGGCGTGGGCACCTGTGCGGCCTGTGTGTTCTGTAGTCTCGCCGGTAGCGCACACAGCTGTCTGAAGTGTGGCACTGTATGTGTGCAATATGTTTTTAGTTTTTATTAATTATTAAATTAAATTAACTCACGGCTATTAAAGGTTTTTCGGAACATTTTCGCGCGTGCAACGAGCCACCGTTTTCATAACATGCAACTAGTGTGACCGCAGGCGCGAAGCACAAAAATACCAAAAAAGTAATGTTAATCGAAAAAAAACACAACTTATCGATAACAATTGTGTTGGCCACCAAGAAGTCCGCGTTTGTCATATGCAATAATGTTTATGTTTGGCTCGGTGCAAAACTAGCACACAATATGGAAATTGAACAGACGCCCCCCAATGTGGCTACATCCGATACGAACTCCACATGTGAGTACCTGGACGCTGAGGGTGAGTCGGAACATGAGGCGGAACTCAGCACTAGCGATCTCTACCCAGAGGAGGCGGAACACGCCGAGGCCGAGCAACAGGGCTATAGTATTATGTCGGAGCTGGGTGCCCAAAAACGTAGCACACTGAGCCCCGACTCTGAGACAGCGCCAGGACAGTCCAGAGATTTGGCCGCCTCCGTGGAGTCGCTGGCGGTGAGCACCTCCACGAGCGCCAAGACCGAGGATAGCGGCAGCACAAATGCCCTGGACGAGGAGCTGCACGACTATCAGCACGACAGCGTGTGGCGTGGCCAAAAGAAGCACATCTTCATATTGAGCGAGGCGGGCAAGCCCATCTACTCGCTGCATGGCAACGAGAATAAGCTGGCCACGCTCTTTGGCGTCATCCAGGCTTTGGTCAGCTTCGTGCAGCACGGCCAGGATGCCATCACGTCCATACACGCGGGCGGCATTAAATTCGCCTTCATGCATCGCAATTCGCTGATTCTGGTGGCCGCATCCCGCACCAACATGAGTGTCCAGCAGCTGAAGCTCCAACTGAGGTGAGCTGCAATTCTTCTGAGGCTTTTTCATCTTTCTATTGATTTTTAACCTTTCAGCGATGTGTACTATCAAATACTCTCCACGCTGACCAATTCGCACATCTCCAAAATATTCGAGAAGCGCAAGAATTTTGATCTACGACGTTTACTCTCCGGCAGCGAGCGGCTGATCTTCAATCTGCTGGCCAACGATAGTAGCAATGCCAGGGGTAAACCCACGAATATAACCTAAGTATTGCTGGCATTAAACATTTGCGGTTTTGCTTGCAGTTTCCAACAACATTTTCACATTTCTGACCAACTCGATACGGGTCTTGCCACTGTCCACGACCGTGCGTACCAGCATCGTCAGCGCCATACAGAGCAACTGCTCGAAGATCAAGAATCTGATGTTTGCCGTGCTGATAGCTAATAACCGGCTGATCGCATTGGTGCGCATGAAGAAATACTCGATACATCCGGCGGATTTGCGTTTGATATTCAATCTGATCGAGTGCTCCGAATCGTTTAAGAACTCCGAGAACTGGACGCCCATTTGTTTGCCGAATTTCTACATGAATGGATTTTTGCATGCGCATGTCTCGTACCTGGCCGATGACTGTCCGGCATGTCTGCTGCTTATGTCTACCGAACAGGATGCGTTTCACACGCTGTCGGAGGCCAAGGGACGGATCACGGAGAAGCTGCGCAAAAATCTGTGCCTGCAGGCCATCAATGAGGAGCTGCAGCAAACCCACAATGCCAAACTGTATCAGCAGGTGATGAGCGTCCCCGAGATGCGGCACTTTCTGTACAAGCCAAAGGCAACCGCTCAGCTGCTCTGCCCCATGCTGAGGCATCCCTACAAATCGCTGGCCGAATTTGAGCGCCTGGAAGCCATCTACTGTGATCTATTGCATCGCATACACAACAGTTCGCGGCCGCTGAAGCTCATCTACGAGGTGAAGGAGCGCGAGGTGGTACTCGC